AGTTGAAGTCCACTCATCTTAAAGTGGCCAAGTTTGGACAACACTGCTATAGCCAGATTAGAGTTACCAAAAATGGGAGAGGGGACGAATTGCCCTGATATATCCAACCAATCTTCTAAGGATGGGAAAATCTGTCAATGCAGGCTTATTTCTCCATTTTTAACTATAATTTGTTCAATTTCTGCATTACTTAGTTTTGCATTAATTTTTAAAAAGCTCAAATTTCTATGAATATTTTTGCAAATGTCTCCTAATGTGTACTTTTTGTCTGAAAGCTTGCCTAGTCTTTGCATTTTTGTAATCAATTTTCCCCTAATGCATTTCTGTACTCTAAAAAACAAAACAAAATTAATTTATGCTTTTTTGGTGGAGACTCTCTAACGTATGCATTTTAAATTAAATTGGAGGACTCCATTCTAACATTCAGGGTCATTATGAAATAGAACTCTGAATTTTGGTCCATGTTTTGGTCTGCAAGTGCAAAACTAGATAAATTTGCATTAAAAAAATTAAAACAACTTTCTTCTCCATCTCTTTTTCTGGCCCACTATAAAGTTTCAGTCAATAACCCCCCCCACATGGCTTTAAGATAGGGGAGATGAAATAGCCCTTCAGAAGTTGTTGGACCACAACCCTGATCATCCCCAAGCATTGGATGTGAGGGTTGGGATGAGGGCAGTTGGAATGTAAGTTCCACACCTTATCTGTAGAAAATACACAAAGTCAGGTCTTATGTGTTTTATACAGTAACTTCTATCCTGGGAGCAATTTGTCACAAGCTGCGTTCTTTGCTCATAAATAAATAAATAAATAAATGGAAAACTAAAGCAACCTATTGTTCCTCGAGACAGTCGTTCATGGGTTCCCATTACATTTCCTGATCACCGAAGAGAAGCACAGATAGAGTGGGCAGCAGCAGCAGCAGGGACCTTCCAAATGTGGCATTTGTCCTCTTAGAATGCCACCATACTAATGCAGATGGACAAAGATCACCCACGGTCTCCAAAGGTTAAAAGCTTTTTCATTTCCAACTTTCTGCTGAACTTAGTTTTATAAAGATAAAGCAGTACCAGAAAATAAAACCATGTCTTTTACTTCAGCACATACATAATTCAAGGATGCTGTTAAGAATGAAAGAATGTGACTCCATGATTGCTTCAAGGCAACCCCTCCAGGAGGACTGGGGACAAAGCACAAACTGTTGGACCCTAACAGCTCCTTGTGTGCTGTTGCATATGTTTGAGGAAGAGAAGGTTGAGGGATACAGTCAAACTAGTGACAGCAGAAGGTTTGGAAAAGCAAACTGCAGTGCAAGGCTAACCAAGGCCATAGGCCTCTGAGGAGACACAAATGAGACAGCTGTTTGGGGAATGTACATAACATGTAGGAAAGCTGAACTTCAATAAATACTTCTTTGGACTATCTTATGCGAGGCTGAAAAGCAATACGTAATTTTTGAGAGTAAGGGAATAAATAAATAATAGCACTATTTTGCCCTCTGTTTCAGCATATAGCAGTATGATATTTGTATGAGAGATTGAAATATCTTCCAGCTGACATATCTAAATTTTGTAAAAAGAATACAAAGGCTCCATGGTAGAGTCCTCTGACTATAGCAATTGCTTGCTCATACCACTTCCAATGTTTCCAATAATTAAAAGTGAAGAATTTACAGGAAGGATAAAGAATGAAAATGTATTGTCTTCAAACAAAAGAAAATATTGGACTATGTTAAGAAAGTGAAGAAGGGATGGGGTGGGGTGGGGTGGGGTGGGAAAAGAAAGAGGAAGAGAATATTGGATATACAAACTAATTTAGGAAGTTCAAGGAGAGAATGACAATAAAATAAATCAGTTGGTTGTTTATAAGGGTTAGTGCCACTACATGTACAACCACACAAAAAGAAAGCCTGGCCAACCATAAAATATGATGGATGTATACTCCCTGTCAAAGCAATCTTTCTCTCTACCTCCAACCATTCCACCCTGTTTAAAAATTTGCAGATGGGTGACCACTTACAAATTACTTTGCAATGAGACATGCCTGTAGATCTTACAATGGAATGTCCCATTTCCCTCCAAGGTACAATATTGTATAGGAACAATATATAAGGTATTATTTTTAAAATGCTCTCCTATCTTGGCCTACAGTATGACGTCCTGCTCTTTCCAGCATTATGAGTCCTTAGACTACATCTCAAAAATGGAGGTCTCTGCAGGATTTTGAATTAGTGACAGGGCAAGTTAGACAAATTTCTCTACTCTTATTGCATCTGCAGAATGCCGCCCAGCGGCCCTGTTTAAGATCACCCAATTCCTTTTGGGAAAGGGGGGGGGGCAGTGGCCCATGTACAGGGCCACACAGAGGAGTTTTCTAGGCATCTGGAGATAAAATCGCTCAGATCCAGTTCCAGTTGAATGCCAAGCATGAGGCATGGTCTGTAGAGATGCCCAGGGTACACTCCTACCCTGTTGTCTGGGAACAGTTTAATCTTGTTGAACCTGAGGAAGTGGACAGGGTCCCTTGGACAGTCAGTGCTACCACTTGTCAACTAGATCCATGTCCTTCCTGGTTGGTCAAGGCTGCTTGAGAGGTGACATGTGGGTGGGTCCAGGTGATGGTGAATTCATCCTTGAGGGAGTGTTTCTAGCTGCCTTTAAGAGGCACTGGTGCATCCCCTCTTCAAGAAACCATCACTGGATCCCACGATACTGGACAATTTTCATCCAGTCTCCCACCTCCCCATTTTGGGAAAGTGGTTGAGAAGGTGGTGGCATTGCAGCTCCAGAGGATCCTGGAGGAAACGGATTATCTGGATCCTTTTCAGTCAGGTTTCAGGCCCGGATATGGGACAGAAATGGCATTGGTCATGCTCATGGATGATCTCTATCCTGCAGGAGCAGGATAGGGGTAGTGCATCCATCCTTGCTCTTCTTGACCTCTCAGCAGCTTTTGATACCATCAACCATTGTATCCTTTTGGGTCGACTTAGGGAGTTGGGAGTGGGTGGCACAATTTTGTGCTGGTTCTCTTCCTTCCTCCAAGGTCGATCCCAACTGGTGTTGATTGGGAGCGAGAGGTCCAGCCCACAGCTCTTCCTCTATGGGGTGCTGCAGGGTTTGGTACTCTCTCCACTCCTTTTTAATATCTACATGAAACCACTGGGTGAGATCATCCGCCACCATGGGCTGAGGTATCATCAATATGCAGATGATACCCAGTTATATATCTCCATCCCAGGTGACATGAGTGATGCCATGACCACCCTTTCACGGTGCCTGGAGACTATGGGTGTCTGGATGGGGTGCAACAGGCTTCAGCTGAACCATGGTAAGACAGAGTGGCTGTGGATTGGAGGCCTCTCTGTATCTGAGGATTTACCATCTTTGGTTTTAGATGGGATTGCACTGCCCCAGACAGACTCAGTGCGTTATCTGGGGGTCCTCCTGGACTCACGACTCCTGCTCGAGGAGCAGGTGGCAGTCATGGCCAGGAGGGCCTTTGCCCAACTTTATGTGGTGCACCAGTTATGCCCTTTCCTGGATCAGGAGGCTCTCCAGTCAGTCAATCATGCCCTGGCCATCTCTTGGTTAAACTACTGCAATGTACTCTACATTGGGCTATCCTTGAAGAGTCTCTGGAAGCTACAGCTGGTTCAAAATGTGGCCGCACGGACAATCTTGGGTGCCCCAAGAATGGCATATATAACACCTTTACTGCAGGAGCTGCATTGGGTTCCAGTTTGTTTCCAGGTCCAGTTCAAAGTGTTGGTTATTACCTTTAAAGCCCTACATGGCATGGGTCCAGGATACCTGAGGGACTGTCTCACCCCCATCACATTAACCTGTCCCACCCGGTCAGTCAGAGAGGGCATGTTACAGACTCTGTCAGCGTGAGAATGTCAGCTGTCAAGACCCAGGGGGAGAGCTTTCTCTGCTGTTGCCCCCACCCTTTGGAATATTCTCCCCCCAGAGGTGTGGCAGGCTCCTACACTCCTGGCTTTCCAGAAAGGATTAAAGACCTGGCTCTTACCCAGTCCTGGGGGTGGCTGGTGCCTTGATGATGCTCCCTGAGTTGCTGCCAATTTTAATATCCTTGGATTATATTTATTTTCTATTTATTTAGGATTAGTTTATATTGTAATTTTAATTTATTTTGACTGCTTTGTAAACTGCCCAGAGTCATTTTTTAATGAGATGTGCAGTGACAAACTTGAAATATAATTAAAAATATAAAACGTATGGTGCTCTAGATTAGAAAAACCAAATCAGCCCATACCATCCTGTGTTTGGGGCTCTTACCAAGGCAAAGTAGAGTCTTATTTTTAGCAGACAGGGTTATGTCAGAATTCATAAAGGGGAGTACTGAAATAAAGTACTGCCCTTCATGAATTATTTCAGTACTGTACTGAAATAAAGCGCTTTTCATATTCATTTTCATATTTATACATTTCTCTGAAATTATTTGGTAAATTAAAATGTATAATGATAAATTAGTAACATCCAAAACAGTGACTTGTCGTATAGTGTTGTTCTCAAAGCAAATTAGTAAAAGTAAAGTTGACTGATTACCACACACTTAAGTCATGCACCTTCTGCAATAATGTGAACCAGCAGAACTTCCCAGTCCATGTATGAATTAACTTTAGTTTTTTTCCCCCTCCATATTATTACACTTTGCCCACTAGCAAATTTAATGGGCCCTCCTTCTCTTATTTCACTGAAATTTCAGTGAAAATTTACCTTAATTCTAGCTGTAGCATTTATGAATTCTACATGCATGCCTAGGGAAGATACTCTACTTGGCTGCCTTTCTCAAGTACTTAAAATGTGTTGAAGTGGGATCCATGTGAGAAGAGCAGAAAATCTCTATGGTGCAAGGCTGTGCATATGTACAGAAATTCAAGAAAGCAAGGTTTATTCCCAAGAAAGTAAAAGCAATCACATATAATAGGAAATGTCCCACTGAATTCTGATAACTGCTTCATAGTAAAATTATTTTAGAATGAGGACATCCCATGTATTTTATAAAGCTCATGTTTTGTATTATTTGTCAACCTTCTAGAATCAGAAAGGTGATGGTTGTAAAAGTTCTTATACTTATTTAATACAGTATTGTGAGGGCAAATGAAAAACAGGCTCAATTTTTTGAGAAAAAATATCATTCTTTCCTTCCAGCACTTTTTAGAAAGAAATCAGGCAGATGAAGCTTGCAATCAGAACAAGCAAACAGCAGTTTTACAAGAATTTAAGGAAAAAACAAGCTTCAGATCCTGATGAAAGGATGAATTCCAAGAGAGTGGCAGTGATGATAAACCAGGTGTGTGTTATGTTGGTCTTCTTACCAGAAGAACATGCTAATTACATCTATTGCAAATGCCAGGTTATCTCCTTGCTGGAGGGGAAGGTGAGAGGACTGGAGACTACCTTTTCTTTAAGATTCATCAGGCACATGAAAAACACACAGGTATTGTACTGTGAATAAAGGCCAGAAGAATAAGACTTCTGAGAAAGACAAGGCACAGGAGGTTGTACAGGAGTACAGGAGAGGAAAGAACCCCAGTGGGAATAGCAAGTACACACACAAACATGTAGCAAGGAAAAATACACAAATTGAGAGGAATCACGTATGTGAGATTGATGGCTATACTGAATGAATGAATGAATGAATGAATGAATGTTCAGTGCCACTGGAGCTGACCAACTGATCTGAAGTTCTGAATGTGAAAGGTGAGCTCCATCAACCTTTAGCAGTTCTAGCCTCCCAACTTATTTAGGACTGTGGAAAAGAGTATTTAACACTAGAGGGATCAACAGAAGCAAAGCTCAACCCTGAGGAGGAAAAGAACTATAGTGATAGTGAGGTAAAGAGCTAGAGCTGCAAGTAGTATTTTAATCAGTTCTCCTCACTGATTGTCAAGAGACAATAAGGGAAATCAGGATCCTGGGAGTGATGTCAAAAAAGGTTGATTCCTAGACTTCCTGGGACTGCTTCCAGTTGCTATTAGGCAAATCCCATGTGGTCATAGCATCCCACAGTCATGTGATCACCATTTGCAACCTCCTGCTGTCTTCCCCATTGACTTTGCTTGTCAGAAGCTGGCAATTAAGGTAGCAAATGGCAATCATGTGACCATGGGACGCTGCAACATCTTCATTCCAAGCTGGTTGCCAACCACCCAAACTGCAATCCCATGACTGCAGGAACACTGCAATGGCCACATCTACAAGGACCTGTCGTAAGTCCCCCTTGTTCAGCACCATCATAACTTTGAACAGTTGAATGAGCGGACATTAAGCGAGGACTACCTGTAAAACCTGAAGTATATTCTTATTAAAAAAAATGGATCCATCAAGAAGGGAAGTATCGTTTTGCATGTAAAGAAATCCTGTATGTGGTGAAATTATTGTCTTTAAATGTGGAAATTGTGTGGAAAGCATGTGGAGTTAGAAACAGAAAGTGATGCCATTGTGGAAGTTTACTATAGTCCTCTTACCCAGACAGAGGATGTGAATAATTTTCTAAATCAATTTGCTAAGTTCTCACAAAGGCAATCTATAGTGGTAGTGGGTGATTTCGATTAAACTTGTATCTGCTGGAAAACTAGGGCAAGGTGAATAAATATGGACTGAATGGTACTGCAGAATGATGGATTTGCAGTTGAACAATCATACTCAAACGATTGTGGATCATCCTGCAGGGAAATACTGAGTGGCGTTCCCAAGGCTCTGTCCTTAGCCTGATGTTATTCATTGTCAATCTAAATGACCTACAGGGTGGAATGGAAATACTGTTTATCAAATTTACAGGTATGTCAAGTTAGGACAGGCTTGAATACTGGGCCAAACCCAAGAATATAATGTTCAATTATGGTAAGTGTAAGGTCCTATATCTGAATAGATAATATCAGATGCAGGCAGTGGTGCGCTGGCAGACACAGAACATCTGATTGGTGCACTAGGTTCTGGGGCTCTGCTCTGCTCTCAATCGGCTCACAAAATTTGTGAAAATTTAACAATTGGCACTCCTGAGTCGATAAGAGTTAGCTCCATCACACCACTGGATGTAACTCTGGAAACCTGGCTTGAGGCAGTGTGAGGGAGAAGATGGTGATTGACTACAAGTACTAGTAGCTACAAATACTGGCCTATTTAGCTCCAGGATCACACTTCTTGGACACACACACTCGTGGTGATTGGCTAATACTTGTAAGCAATCACCACATGAGCTTGACCAAGAAGTGTGATGCTGGAGCTAAATAGGCCAGTGGAAATTTGGGTTGCAGTAACAGAAGCATTGCTTCTAGATCACAGAAAATATTTCTTTCATTGTATTCTGGGCTGGCAGTAATTCACTTGGAATTCTGTGTCGAGTTTTAGACATAATACCTTAAAAGGGACATGGAGAGGATGAAGTGGAATCAAAGCAGAGCTACCACAGTAAAGGGCCTAAAAGTAAATCCTGTAAGCAACAATGAAAGGAGCTGACCACGATGGCACATCACCATCATCATGTTTACCCTGGAAAACAGAAGACTAAGGAGATGTATGATAGGAGCCTACAAATGTCTAAAAAGCTCTTCTCTAAAACATGGACCTGTTCTCTTCTGAAACAGAACAGAAAAGGGGCTGGCAATTTGAGATTAAAAGAAAAAAGATTCAGGCTGAATATTACAAGAAATCTTCTAATGATAGGAACTGCTAAACAGTGAAACAGTCTGCCTAAAACTGATAAACTTGTCACTGGAGATTTTCAAAGATGACCATCTGTAGGAGATAGTTTAGTGGATACTAGCAGTGAACAGAAGATTGGACAAGACAAATTGTGAGATCCCTTCTAACTTATAGATTGTATGATTCTGATATATTCAGTCTATAATCTTCAGAAATTAAAATAAGGTTGTGGCCAGTTTCTTATTCCTCCAGATATTTGCTAAGGAGTCATTTTTTATGCTGTTTGCCTATAATTTCTAAATAACTAATTTTAGAACTCAGTTTGGCATTTCAGTTTTATGGGTGTTACACATTTTAGCAAAGAAGCATATAGAATATCAATAGATTATCTGAAGGGCAAACATTATGAATATTATGAAGGATTTTAAATCAAATTGCACATTTATTATTAGAGAAAAGATGTAAAAATATTTATTACACCATTAGTCGCTCTTTAAATGATTGATTTTCAGCAAATATATAATGGGAAGCAAGTTCTAGAATAAATGAAAGAATTTATTAGTGTAAGTATATTGCAAATGATTTGAGTTGAGAATCAAGTTTACAAACTATTATTTCAGTTTAATATCTATGCCACTACAAAAAAGCTGGTTTTGTTTTCTAGGACAGAGCAAATATCATAAGCATTTGTGCCTGACCAAATTAATGAATACAGCTCCATTCAGGTATCTCAAGTGCTGAAACATTCATGTTATATTCTACAAAGCCGCCCAAGCATCTGCCAAGAGTCAAGGCTAAAACAGCAAAGAAGCATGTCATTGATAAACCTCTTCAACAATCTTGCCAGCAGTTAATCATTTTTTATATTGTGTTGGCACTCCTGTGTTTTCCGAGCTTAGGTTTTTATGGGTACACATAACATATTCAGCTCACCACATGGGGCTATACACCCTACAATTCAGAGGCTCACCATGACAGAAACATCTACTGTGGGAAAGGTCTCCATCCCTTTGAACCTTATCCTCTGGCAAACTATTTTGCTAGCCATCCCTCACAACAGGTAGAAAGCACAGAAACGTCTAAACAGAGGACATTTTAAGATGATTGTGATGGGCAGGTGGGCTTTAGAAAAGCTGTTTGCTGAGCTTTGGACATATTGGTGTTATTGTTCTGACAGTAAAAGGTCATTCTTTTCAAACATGAAATATCCACTTGGAAAAAGGATTGAAAAATGGGTTCTGTTGGGAATTATTTATGAAAGGCAGACTGGAATTTTTTTTGAAGTCTAAAACACTCAATAACATAATGTTATCCACTAACTAAGCAATATATTTCTTTAATGAAAGGAAAATACCTTTATAGTAACCCAAGCAGGTCAAATAGTAAACTCAAACATTAGAATCAGAAAGATTCCAGCTTACTATGACTCATCTTATTCATTGTTTATATTTCCTGTAATATCCTCTTTGAGACAAAGGAGACAATAAGATAAAAACTATTAGGAAATTAACTTCACAGAGTACAGGACAAGTTCACGGAGATACAAAATGCCATATAAGAATGCTTTGACAAAAGTGCAAAGATTCTGGGACAAAAAAGAAAGACCACAGACAAAAAGATCAATTAAACAAGTAGAAATCAAATCTGTATTTTCTCCACCAGCTACGATGTGTGGCGTGTCAAGATTCCAGTGCTGTGATCAGTTATCCTATGCAGTCTCTTCTGGACTTTGAATGATATGGGCAGCCATAAAAATTGTTTAATTTTTTGCAATTTTTTTAAAAAAAATACATTGGTGCACAATAATCTGATCTGATTTGGCATAGGTAATTTTGAGAAATGTCAAAATCCTCCCAGCTGGTTGTTCTGAGGGATGTCAATATCTGTTTTGAGGCCTCCATCAGAAATGACTCATGATTTCACAGCTGTCATTAATTTCTGGCCCTGGGCACTTAAATGGAAGTGGACTGTATCTTCTGCATCTTCTTTTTTCAGGTTGAGCAGGAAGGTTATCTGTAGGTGGGGAATATTATATAGAGCCATTATTATAGGCAGATCCTCACTTGCTCAGATTAGGCCCACTGTCACCCTAAACCTTCACAGTGATAACAGATTTATTAGGCTAAATATTTCTTAGGCTAAATATTTCCTCTAGGAAAATAATGGATACTTTTTTTTTCCTGAAGGGTGGGGGGCAGATTTTCCTATCAAATAAGCTAACAATTATTCTGAAATCCTGGTCAACCTATGGAATGGAGAAAAGATCCAGGAAGTCAATACTATTCCTCCTGGTAACTCTCTACCAAGACAAACAGCTGTGAGTTCCTTGGCAGTCTGAAGAGTTGACAAGAATAAGTTGTCACTGGATATCCTATGATTAAGCAAAGGTGCGAGACCACATTTCAGCTTATTCTAGTGTGCTAGCAAAATAACATTATAATCAAGGCAGTAGAATAAACAATTTCAAATACTTAATGGTCTATTATGAAACCCTAGGCTTAATACTCTTGGTAATCTATTGCAACCAATCTGTAAGAATTAATACACAATTTTCTCATATCTGTATTAAGTTAGATGCTGCAGTTAGAGCACTACTAGTAGGTAGTAGAGGTCAGTTTAGTTGGCCCAGGAATTGGGATTTTGTCTATGTGTGGTGGAAAAGCACTCTGCTTGAAAACAGAGGTTTGTATTTTGGCAAGAATTATACTATAGTGAGATCATTAGATAGGATTTTGAAGAATATCTTTTCACATAGAATTCTAGATTTGGGAGAGATCATAAGGATTGCCTAGTCCAACCTTCTGCAGTGTGCAGAAAAAGCAGCCTCTTGGGTACTGTCCAACCTCTTCATAGAAGCCTCCAGAGATGGAAAACCCAGAACTTCCATAGGTAGGCTATTACCATCAGGAAGATTTTACCTATATTTAACTGAGTTTATTTCTTTATTTCTCAGATTTATACAGCTGCCCTCTCACAACATGACTCTGGGAAGCGTACAATAAAACAACCAGTTAAAACAGATAAAACAACAATTAAACAATATAAATAAAATGGACCAGCATCCTATACACAGTGTAACCATCTCATGGGATCCCCATTTCCATGGGATCCCCAAGCCTGCTGGAAGAACCATGCTTTCAGGGATTTCCTAAATGCCAATAGGGTTGGGGCTAATCTCATCTGGGGCAGGGGGAATGTTGTTCCAAAGGGCAGGTGTCATGGCAGAAAAGGCCCACCTCCTGGGTCCCATCACATGGAATTCTTTAGCAGATAGGACCCATAATATGCTCCTCCTGCCAGGCCGGATGGGACAGGTAGATGTATCCAGGGAAAAGTGGTCCTCAGATAACCCGGTCCCATGCCATGTAGGGCTTTAAAGGTCAAAACCAGCACCTTGAATTGAACCAGAAGCAAACCAGCAACCAATGCAGCTCACGGAGCAGAGGTGTAACATGTGCCATTCTAGGGGCACACATAACTGCCCGCACCACCTTTTTCCACCAGTTGAAGCTTCTGGATGTTCTTCAAGGGCAGCCCCATAAAGAGCACATCAGACTGGCAACTAAATGCAGATTAGGCTGCACTATCGTGTTTCCCATAGCTATTTATGGTTGCAAAAGTTGGATCATGAAAAAGCTAGACAAGAAGAAAATTGACTCATTCAAGCTGTGGTGTTGGAGAAGGCTCCTGTGCATTCCTTGGTCAGCAAAGGTGACAAACAAGCAAGTATTAGAGCATATAAAACCAGACGTATCACTGGAGGGCAAAATCACAAAATTCTGCCTTATTTCAGCTATGTCATGTGATCAAACTCACTGGAAAAGGCAGTTATGCTAGAAACGGTCAGTGGTAAAAGGAAACGAGGCTGCCAAAAAACACGGTGGTTAGACACCATCAAAGCCGACACCAACCAGAGCATAAAACAACTAAAAGAAGCTGTACAAGATTGGAAAATGTGGAAAGAGTTGGTCCATAGAATCACCAAGAATTGGACATGATTGAACAGATAGCTTCATCACAACTTTTGTAGTATCTCAGAACAATGAATATTTTTTTAAAAAAACTAAATTCTTTAGTCAGTCCTTATGTGATCACATAGTATAAATTCACAGCATCTTTTAACTATCTCAGTTTCTACGTAATATATTCTGTCAGGCAAAATAATATGTATTAAAATACAGGAAAAGCTTATTCCTTTTGGCTAGTAAGATTTTCCTTAGAACCAAAGATCTGGAAGTTATTTTTCAAATGGATGGTTTCCTATAAATATTTACATCTTTGAAATCAGAGAACAAGTACACATTGATGCATTTTTCAAAATAATATTTCGTTCTTCCTGATCATTCTAGTGCACATACTGTTCAAATAGATCATTCCATTTATTTTACTTAGGGAAGACTGTAGACCCTTGTCTTCTTTTGAACAATCTTTTCTTCTTCATTAAAACAACCCACGGAGTTAACTTCAGTAAAATGTTGGGTTGGAAATAAGGACGTATTGCTGTGGATCAACTTAGACACATGGAGACTTTTCCTCCTGAAAGGTAAAAAAAAATAGCTGCAATAAGTATCTTGTAGAAAAATATTCACTACAAACCAATCAATAGCCATTTGCTTTCTTTTCTACAACCACTGGAATATTTATTTATTTCTATTTTGGCACTGCCCAACTCCAGAACAACTCATTTAAACATGGCTGGGAGGAGGATACTCATAACTATGGATTGTATAGAAAACAATAGTATAGGAGCAAACATAAAAATAGCTGCAATAAGTATCTTGTAGAAAAATATTCACTACAAACCAATCAATAGCCATTTGCTTTCTTTTCTACAACCACTGGAATATTTATTTATTTCTATTTTGGCACTGCCCAACTCCAGAACAACTCATTTAAACATGGCTGGGAGGAGGATACTAATACATATGGATTGTATAGAAAACAATAGTATAGGAGCAAACATAAAAGACTATATATGAGGCAACATCTGCTGTTAGCATTTAGCCAAATGTTTCAAGTACTACTAGTACAAGCAAAACCTAGTATGGCTCTACAAAGCCTTGGAACGAGATGCTTCACCATACATGGAAACACAAAGGAAGCACCTCTCTTAAAGCAGCCACAACTTTTTATGGCTTACTCTATAATGCAATGAGTCATAAAGAACTTGTGACAGTTCTTGTACAAGCAGAATTCAAGTATTAGATTTTTCAAATATGCTCAGAATCAAATGAGATTTTGCAACAGACAGAAATGTAATGCCAATGGAATAAAACCTTATAACCTTCTTGGTTAATTGAATAAAACAGTTCATCTATATACTCACATTTCTCATTATAAAACAGGCCCTCCAAATTGGTCTTGCAGAAGTCTCTCCATGATTGAAATACTCTGTAAAAACATCACAGACAAGATCATTTTGAAGTCTAAATATTTTACAAATACTGATATGCGTACTCCAATGTCATTACCAATCTCTTGTTAATGCAGTTAGAGTCACCTCTTGGAGCCCTACTGTACTGAACCTCTTACAAGTTTCACTGATGGTCTACTGACTTGCAAAGCAAGGAACCCATGAAAAATCACAAGAATCCTGAGAAAGTGGTGAAACAACAGGGCCTTCTATAAATCCTATCCATACCTTAAGATTTTGGGAAGGCAGCTCTCAAATGGACCTACAGATCTACCTAGAAAACAAGGCAATAAGACAACCTCCAAGTTCCTAAAAAAAAAAAAAGATTCTCTTTAGCACTTCTTAACATTTCCTGAATAGACTGTGTGGGTTTTTAGCTAGTAATATTGAATGTCTTTCTGGTCACAACATGCA